CAACTCAAAAAAAAAAAAAAAAAGAAAGTAGTTCAGAAGTAGCTAAAAAGGGATCAAGAAGACCTGAAAATAGGTCTTTGGTAACCATGTGAAGGCAGTTGGTTTTAGTAGTTCAGCAAGGAGGAAGTTCTCATTATGTCCAGCAGTATACATACACACATATACACGCGCACACACACACACATATATTTTTAGAGAAGGGGTCTTGCTATACTGTCCAGGCTGGTCGTGAACTCCTGGCCTGAAGCAATTCTCCTGCCTTGGCATCCTAGTTACTGGGATTACAGGCGTGAGCCACTGTACCTCACCCTATTTTTTAAAGGTTTGTTACAGCATCAACTAATTCGGGCACTTTGAGTATGCTAAGTAGGTGAAATTGTTAAATTAGATTTGATACTAGAATGATTTAATATATTTGCCTAAGCTTTATGTTATATAATTTAGAGAATAGAATATTAATAAGAATAGCTAACACATCAGGCCCAGGTTTGGCTCTTTAAATACCTTGTTTGTTTTGTGTTTTGAGTCTGGGTCTCATTCTGTCGCCCAGGCTGGAATGAAGTAGCATGGTCACAGCTCACTGCAACCTCGACCTTCTGGGCTCAGGCAATCCTCCCACCTCAGCCTTCCAAGTAGCTGGAACTACAGCTGTGCATCACCATGCCTGGCTAAATTTTTAAATTTTTGTATCAACATGAGGTCTCAGTATGTTGCCCAGGCTGTTCTTGAACTCCTGGGCTCAAGCAGTCTTCCTGCCTCGGCCTCCCAAAGTGCTGGGATGACAGGTGTGAGCCACCATACCTGGCCTGCATACACTGTTTCAGTTAATCCTGTGAGGTAGGTACTATCATTTTCCAGAGGAAACTCGGGCATGTGTGCATCGTATGAGAACAGATACCCTGTTTTGTTTTGCTTTTGTTGTCTTCTTTGACTGGGCTCTTAAGCCAGTCTGATGACCTGCATAGGCTAACTGAGGAGAAGTTCAGCTTCATTCACAACATCTGGCAAGAACCTGCTTCCCTCCTTTCAGCTCTTTCCAACCTGTGGCTGTCTCCTGTTGAGTCGTATTCCTGTCCAACTTGTCAACTGCATTTGGTTCTCCTGACTTAAACCTTCTTGCTCTCCAAAGACCTGGAGTTTCCCCCTTTTCTCTTTTTTGTTCTTTGCCTGAGGTTGGCCCTGGGGGCCCAGATCCTACCAGCATCCCACTTGGTTAGACTCCCCTTAAAGCACAGTGCCTGGCAATAGTCAGGCAGGCACTCAGAGAGGTTTTAAAGTCTGGTGTGTAGTAGATGTCTCTTTAGAACTTGGGAGATGCCAGAAGAGATGTGAAAGAGGCATGGAGAAGAGAGATAGGAAAGTGTCTCAGAGTTAAGGAGAATAGAGCATCAAGATAAAGGAATGACCAGTGATGTCAAGTATTCCAATTTCTTTTTTTTTTTTTAGTTTGAGTTGGAGTCTCACTCTGTCACACAGGCTGGAATGCAGTGTCACAATCACAGCTACTGCAGCCTCAACCTGCTGGGTTCAGGGGATCCTTCCATCTCAGCCTTCCAAGTAGCTGGAACTACAGGTGTGCGCCACCACTCCTGGCTAAATTTTTGATTTATTGTAGAGACGAGGTCTCACCGTGTTGCCGAGGCTGGTCGTAAGCCCCTGGGCTCAGGCAATTCTCTCACCTCGGCCTCCCAAAGTGCCGGGATGACAGGTGTGAGCCACTGGATGGGAAGCTCAATGGCGTTTGGCAAGTGGGATGTCACTTGTGTGATCTTCTGGTGAGCAATTTAAGTAAAATGGTGGGAGCAGAAACCAGATTGTTAGGAAGGAGGGATAGTAAGTAGAAAGTGGAGGCAGCTACATTTTGTAGGCCATCTTTTCAGAAAGGCATCAGTCTCAAAAAAGAGAAGTGGGATTTTGGTTTGAATGAAAGTCGGGGTTTTGTTTGTTTCATTTCATATGTGTGGTTGGAGAGACTGAAGTTTGGTAGGCAGGTGTTAGAAAGGGTCTGTGAAGGGGCTGCAGAGAGAAGCAGCAAGAAGGCATGGGGGTGGTAATGACCTCTCAGGTGCCCGGAACAGGTGTGAGGGGAAACCGAGGGCTGGAGTCATTAGAACCAGGAGAAAAGGTGGGTAACATGGTGGGGGAACAGTCTTGTGCTGCAGGGGAGGAGTGCTGTGGAAACTGAATTCTGATCACCACTGTTAGCAGTGATGGGGTGAGAGGGACTGGTGGTGGCTTTATAAGACCAGAAAAATGGAAAGGTCACCATGGAGAAGGTGCTGGACGATAGGCAGGATGAATTTTTTTGTATTGAGTTGGAGGTCTCACTCTTGTTGCTCAGGCTGGAGTGCAATGGCACCATCACAGCTCACCACAGCCTCGACCTCCTGGACTCAGGCAATCCTTCCGCCTCAGCCTCCTGAGTAGCTAATTGTTTTATATTTTGTAGAGACAGGTTCTCATTATGTTGCCCAGGCTAATAAGATGGATATAAAAGACCGGCTCAGCACGATGAGGATATAAGAGAGGGCAACTGACATCAATTTGTAACCAGCTGGATTGACACAATTTCACAGTTTTCTGCTCAATCCTCGGCAACACAGGAGTAGATGAAGGGTGATCAGAATGCAGACTCATAAAGAGTA